ATGCTGGCTGGGGGATTCCGGGAGTGGAAGTCCTCCCCTCTTAGAGCAGGCTGGCTGGGGGATTCCGGGAGTGGAAGTCCTCCCCTCTTAGAGCAGGCTGGCTGGGGGATTCCGGGAGTGGAAGTCCATCCATCTTAAAGTGGGCTGGCTGGGGAATTCTGGAAATTGAATTCCGCTTGTTTTAAAGTTGGCAAGTTTGGAAAACACTGGCCTAGAAGCGGGATTTTTCCAGCTAATTGACAATTACGATCAGAAAATGCTGAGTTTAGTGCACTTGTGAAGTTCCCGAAATCTAGCTCAGTTGCTCCCACAACCGTTCTTCTCAACATTTACCTGTTCTTTTTGCCAGCGTTGTGGGACTCAGTTTCGATTTCATCGCTCTGAACCTGACCGGCTTCATTGCCTACAGCGTCTTCAACATCGGACTCTTTTGGATTATCCCCATAAAGGTACCAGGTCCCGTCTTCTCTGGCTGGGTGTCATCTGCCATCTTGGGCCAATTTTGGTGTAACCTCTTTGCCTTCCTCCATAGGAGCAGTTCCTGCACCAGTATCCCAACGGCGTGAATCCCGTAGCTAGCAATGATGTGTTTTTCAGCCTCCATGCGGTGGCTCTCACTTTGTTCACCATCTTCCAGTGCTTAATCTATGAGGTAGGTGCACTGATGGTGTTACCTAGTTGGGTCATGAAATGACTGCAAGAAAACAGCCAAGTTCAGAGAGCATCAAAGGACCCTCTGTCTGTCTGCCTATCTGCCTACCTACATCTATATATCTATATCTATCATCTATCTATCTATCTATCTATCTATCTATCTATCTATCTATCATCTATCTATCTATCTATCTATCTATCTATCTATCTATCCATCAATCTACTATCTATCTATCTATCTATCTATCTATCTATCTATCTATCTATCTTATCTCTATCTATCATCTATCTCTATCTATCTATCATCTATCTCTATCTATCTATCTATCTATCTATCTATCTATCTATCTATCTATCTATCTATCTATCTATCTTATCTCTATCTATCATCTATCTCTATCTATCTATCTATCTATCTATCTATCTATCTATCTATCTATCTATCTATCTATCTATCTAGCTAGCTAGCTAGCTATCTAGCTATCTAGCTATCGATCTATCGTATCATCTGTCTATCTATCATCTATCTATCTATCATCTATCTCTATCTATCTATCTATCTATCTATCATCTATCTATCATCTATCTCTATCATCTATCTATCTATCTATCTATCTCTATCTATCTATCTTATCTATCATCTATCTATCTATCTATCTATCTATCTATCTTATCTCTATCTATCATCTATCTATCTATCTATCTAGCTGTCTGTCTATCTATCTATCTATCGTATCATCTATCTATCTATCTATCTATCTTATCTATCATCTATCTATCTATCTTATCTCTATCTATCATCTATCTATCTATCATCTATCTATCATCTATCTCTATCATCTATCTATCTTATCTATATCATCTATCTATCTATCTATCATCTATCTATCTATCTATCTATATCTATCTATCTATCTATCTATCTATCTATCATCTATCTCTATCATCTATCTATCTATCTATCTATCTATCTATCTATCATCTATCTATCTATCTATCATCTATCTATCATCTATCTATCATCTATGTCTATCATCTATCATCTATCTATCTATCTATCATCTATCTATCTATCTATCTATCTATCTATCATCTATCTATCATCTATCTATCATCTATCTCTATCATCTATCTATCTATCTATCTATCTATCTATCTATCATCTACACTACAATATCTCCCTTCTCTCTCTGTCTCTCTCTCTCACCTGTCTGTCTTTCTCTCTATTTACCTACCTTCTGTCTGTCTGTCTATCTTTGTCTATCTACAACAGGTTAATTAAGGAGCCACCAAGAACACTCCCACCATATGGACAGAGCAAGTCATTTGTAAACAAAGAGCAATCCCCCTTCCTTATAGCACTGATGATGTTCCCTAGTTGAAGTAATATGACACCTGCAAGTAAATAATCAAGCTCAGAGAGCACCAAGGACCCCACCATTCTCTTCCTCTTTCTTCTCCTCCCTTCTCCTTCTCCACAAAACAAACCCCACTCCCAAATAGCACTGATGATGTTGCTTAGTTTGGTCATGAAATGTCTGCAAGGAAACAGCCCAGCTCAGAGAGCACCAAGGACCTACTATAAAGTAGCTTGAGTTCTAAGCCCTTTTCATGGCTAGTTTTTGAGACTGTAAACTTGGAATCAGGGCTCGGGGCTTTTATTTTGGTTTTATGCCTTTTACAATAAAGTCAGTCAGCCTAGTTTTATCATCACTCTATACAAGAAATACAGGCAGTCGTGGATGGAGCCTGCCCGTCGTGGTTGTAAGTTAGGACAATCCGTAAAACGAATCGCCTCCGTGACCCGCTTAACTTTGCAACTTTTTTTTCCCCCCCCCGGGCTGTTAGATAAATGCCAGTGGTTGTAACTGTAGATTAACAACGCACCTCTCACTCTTCAAGCCTGGCATAAAACTTGAATCACCTAGTCATTTTATTTATTCAGGTTTACTAATCATGAATCACAGCCAAGCCCCGTCTGGTTTTCTTCTCTGTGATTCAAGACCTACGTAAAGTTCTAGGAACTGGGAAGGTAGCACACTGTTGCTTGCAACTGGGCTGCGGTGAATTATTCCAAGTTTTTTTAAAGTTCTTTTTAAGGCCCCGTGGCATCGTACCCGGTGCCCTGATAATTGATGTTTGGACTGTCCAAACTGCTGCAATCCCTCTTTGCAAATCTCGGTGGTTTCGTCATCGCAAAGTTGCTTTTTTTTTTCCAAGAGGCAACTGGACTTTCTGCTTTTTCTTTGAAGACATTTTGCTTCCCATCCAAGAAGCTTCTTCAGCTCTGATTGTAAGGTGGAGAATGGAAGGATGTATACTCCTTGCAGACACAGCTGGTCATTTGCATCCTTTTCGAGGGTCGTTGAGGCCACTTGGAGGTTTATCTGTGTCCTCAGGGTCACCTGAGTGGTGCAAATGATTCCTGTAGTCTGCAATTTTTCCTGCTGGAAATCCATTCCCTATTCCCACACCATTCCAAGAGTGTCCATCCCAAATTGCATAGCTAAAAGTCTGCAGAGATTCTCTAGTCATCCAAGTCATGGTTGTCCCAAAGGTGCTTTTTTTTCAGGACGCAACTGGACTTGCTTGTTTTTTTTCTGTTGAAAATGTTTCGCTTCTCATTCAGGAAGCTTCTTCGGCTCTGACCGGATGATGGGGAATGGAAGGATTCATATCCCTTGCAGACACAGCTGGTCATTTGCATCCTTTCAGAGGGTCGTTGAGGCCACTTGGATGTTTGATCTGTATCATCAGGGTCACCTGAGTGGTGCAAATGGTTCCTTGTAGTCTGTAATTTTTCCGTCTGGAAATCCGTTCCTCCTCCCACACAATGGGAGGTTGTTTTTTTTCGGTCATCTTTCCCAAGTCCTCTTCTGTATCAAGTAGTCCTTGACGTAGGACCACAACGGATCTCAAAATTTTCACTGCTAAGCAAGACAGCCGTTAAAGGAGTCTGGCTCCATTTTATGCCCTTTCCTGCCAAGTGGTTAAGTGAATCGCTGCAGTTGTTAAATGAGTCACAGGGTTCTTAAGTGAATCCAATTTCTTTGCTGGTTGCCAAGGGGCTGAATTTGGCTCACCTGACCATGCGGGGAATGCTGCAATGGTTGTATGAAACCTAATTCACTTTTTTCCAGTCCTGTTGTAACTTCGAATAGTGACTGTACAAATGGTTGTACGCCGAGGACTAGTTGTAAACAGCTTAAGAGATTTTTAGAAGGAAACTGAGGAAATTAGGGATTATGCAGGATTTTACACAAATTTAGCAGGACCGTTTGGCAGACTGAGAACATTCCTCTGCCCACGGGCCGCCCCGCGGCAAATTCCTTTGCCACCCTTCGAGTTGACCCGTGAATTCCTTGCATTTATGCCCACTGGAATCCAATTTCTGAGGCCAAATTCTTGCTGGAAATCTTGTGGCCCGCCAGCTAAACAACTGTCTCGCTTAGCATCGGAAGTTCTGGTTCCAATTTTATTATTATTATCATCAAATTTATTTGCACCCTCATCTTGCAGTCTGTGTTGCGGCTGGCCAGTGGAGCTGGTGGCAGGCTCAGACAGTGAGGAGGTTGTGGAGGAACCTGGGCCAGCCCTGGAGTCTGGGGAAGGCTCTGACAAGGGCTCTGCGTCGGAGGCAGAGATAACTGTCCGACAGTTATCAGTTGCCTTTGGAGTCAGAGATCAGTGGGGAAGAAGAACAGCTGGAGCCTGTTCCCAGTGTGTGCATGCACAGAGCTGCCAGGAGAAGGGAACAGTAAAGGAACAAGGGTCAACTCGGGAGTAAAGACACAGGTGGATGGTGAATGGCCCCTCCCAGGGGAAATAAAGAGGAGTGAAAGAGGTGTTTGCAGGAGACAATTAGTTCCTTTAATTAGTGTGAAGATTTTTTTGGTGACTCTCAGAGACTCTTTGCCAAGGATTTCCTCATACAGCCTTGCGCTTGGAAGCTATCGGCCTGGCAACTCTTCAAGCCTGATAAGCTCTATGGTTGTAATTCACCTGTCAGGATTCCGGCAGTTACCTCAATTAAATCATGAGTTTCGAGCCAAACTTCCAAAATTAAATAGGATTGATTGGGAGTTAACATGTCCGGCACTGCCTGGGTGTAGCTGACTCTGAGACACATCATTCACTGTCACCCTGGTTTCCCCCCACCCCTCTGGGTGTATCATAATTCATATTCTCCAATGAGGCACATCCATAGCCAAGAGTCATCAATCATGCCTTCCAGTTAGATATTTGTGCGACAGAAACTTCAGTCACCTAGTTACAATCTCTGAAAAACTATGTAAGGAATGCAGTTTTGATTTCCAAGCTGCCGCACTGCTTTTTCAAACCCCCTTTTCCGCCTCCCTTTCTGTTGGCAACTCTAAAATGGCCATGGAAATGTTTTATGAATGGACATCACCTCTGAAAGACTGTTTGCTGGGACTTTGCTGGATGTGAATGATAGTGTGATGACCCAAAGGGGTGTGGCACAAAAGTAGCAAAAGTCACAAAAATAGGTAAAGTCCCTTTAATTCCTCCAACTTGGCCCCCAATGTCCAGTTATCATCGGCTGGAGAAAAAAAAACTCTTCTCAAGAACAGTTTTTTAAAGAGAAGAAATTCTGTCCGAACCCAAAGTACATATAAATTATAAATAAAAACCAACACAAACCACGCTGCAGCAATTAACGAGACAGGGCAGGATAAGGAATTGCCAAAAATATATAATATTATATAATAAAATATAATATACAGTATATTCAAAAAATAAAGAAGCACACACACTTGGGAGGACTCCAGAACTCAGATAAGACTTGACAAAGATAATGCACACTTTGCTTCCAGCAAGGTGATGTGCGCAAACGCCCTTTTAAAATCCTGTTTTCCCAGCTGCAGCTAATGAAGGGAATCAGGGCCCTTTCTTCCCCCATAACACATGTTGCTCCCTTCTCTGTTCCTCCCTGCATGCCCTAGGATGAAGAGGGGGCGGGCCTGGATCTTCCTCTGAATGCCCAGCCGGACTGTGCCCTTCCCCAGTTTCCTCCCCAGCCACCGGAGCCACATTTCCACTCCCTGTCAGCTGTTCGACCTCCCCCTCAGAATCAGACTCCAATAGGGGCATGACAGATAGGAATTCACATTAACCTAATAAAAAGGGGTTTTGTCGGGCTTTGTGATTTTGGGAAGCCTGGGTCAGAACAGGGGAATGTTGACTTTCTCTCTCTCTCTCTTTACTTTCCCCACCCCCGCAGAGAGGGACCCAGAAGGTTTCTCGAGTCGCCATCGCGTTCCTGGTTGCGGCGTGGCTCTTCGTCTTCGCCACTTTGGCCGTGACGGTTGCCCAACAGATCACCTGGTTGCAATTCTTGTTTTACTTCTCCTACATCAAGCTGGGAATCACACTCATCAAATACTTCCCTCAGGTGAGCGAAGGAGGGAGTCGGTTTTTCCACGATGGGGGTGTATAATTGACCCACAACCCACAATGGGGCCCGAAATTGCTTATTTCTTAAGCGAGACATTTGTTAAGTGAGCTGTGCCCCTATTTATGACCTTCCTTGCCATTGCCATTAAGTGAATCGCTGCAGCTGTTCAGTTAGCAACACGGTCGTTAAGCGAATCCGGCATTTCCCCCCACAGACTTTGCTTGTCGGAAGGTCGCAAAAGGGGATCGCGTGACCCCGGGACACTGCGACTGTCATAAATGTGAGCTCAGTTTGCCGGATGTCCAAATTTTGAGACCATGAGACTGGCAGTCCTTGATTTGACAGCAATCGAGTTCGTGACCGTTCACAACGGCACTGAAAACGTGACTTATGGCCGTTTTTTCACACGATTGTGGCAGCCTCCCCACGAACCCATGATTGAAATTCGGACACTGAGCAAATTGGTTCATATTGATGACGGTTGCAATGTGCAGAGTTCATGTGATACCCCTTTGCGACTTTTTGGCAAATAAAGTCAACGGGGAAGCCGGATTCGCTTAACAACTGTGTTGTAACCGTGGGGGCCCAGTGTTTAGAATGCAGTATTGCAGGCTCACTCTGCCCACAGCCAGGAAGTTTGATCCTGACCGGCTCCAGGTCGACTCAGCCTTCCATCCTTCCCAGGTCAGTAAAATGAGAACCCAGATTGTTGGGGGACAAGAGGCTGACTCTGTAAAACTTCTGAGAGAGGACTGGAAAACGGTATATAAGTCTGTTGCTTGTGAAAGGAGGGAGGGAAGCAAAGAAGGGAAAGGGAGGGAGGGAGGGAGGGAGGGAGGGAGGGAGGGAGGAAGGAAGGAAGGAAGGAAGGAAGGAAGGAAGGAAGGAAGGAAGGAAAGGAAGAGAAGGAAAGGAAGGAAAGGAAAAGAAGAAAGGAAAGGAAGGAAGGAAAAGAAGGAAAGGAAGG